CAGTAACGCCCTCGACTCCCACAGTCCGACTCAAAAAGGGTTCCCGGTACACAGCTAACCACCAAAGACTAATCAAACCTCGCACAGCCCTCCCATCCCTAATCCTATTCAACCCTCCCTGTCCTATCCGCCCACCAAGAGCTCCATTACTTAATCTAGACGATTGCGACCACATTCTCACCTATCCTCACAAGTCCCTTCTCCTAGCAACACCCCCCCCTCTAGACCTCGTCGTCCCACGTAAGCTCCCCAGACCATTGTCCAACCTGATCTCCTACTGTGATCACCCTATAATACGGCTTCCAAGCCTTGACAAAGAAAGACCAACCACCCCTCCGTCTTCTAGAAACATCTGCAGAGATCGCCACTCTCAAATTCCGCAGCATCCAAGCTCGCAGCGTCGAGAAGGATGTCGGCACCCCTTCACGCAACAACCTTGCTCGCATAGCCCACACAGCCGCCCAAAATGTCGCACGAGCTGTATCGGCAGCATAGGCCGCAGCCATCCCTGTCGCATCCCCCGAAAGGAGAAGCCCTACTAAAACTGGGGCGCTCTTTCTCAGGACCCCAGAAAGCGGGACCGCATTCCCAAGGGAGTCCCACCATTCCCAGAAGGCCACTTGCGGCGCACATTCCAACCATACGTGAGGCAGAGATTCTTCAACACCCTGACAATGTTTACAACACCTATCTTTGTGCGAGCACTTATCTGCCAATCATTGGTACGTGGGTTGCGCTAACTGGAGGCAAAGCCACAAACCCCCCACATGTTTCTGATCCGGGAGAAGGGCCAGCAGCCTACAGGCCTTCCGCCAAACCAGATCATCCCAACAGAGCAAGGCCTTCTGATCCAACCATCCCCTCTTCCTCCACCTCTCCCGCATTTCTTCAACCATATTCGTTGGCACTAGCAGGGACCTATAGATCACCTTCGTAGTTACCTGGTGAACTCTGCACCGCTTCATGAGCGAATTTCTAGGTGCCCATTCCCAACCCGATGGGTCCCACGGGAGCTGAAGCGGCGTGTAGGCCGGCTTAAAGACGCGAAATCCTCGCCCCTTGGCTATCACCTGGTCCCTCAGTACCACGACTGACCTGATACATCCCTCATGAAGCCTTCCGTCCCGCTCCGGTCGTCGAACAAGCACATCACTCAGCGTTTTCTGTGAGCCAACATCCTCCCAAGCCTCCACCCCATACCACTGAGAACCCAACTTCTCTTTTAACTGGAAAAAAAAACACTAGACGATCCTGCCCTCCCAAAGTAACCCATTCCCCTTGCAGCCGGTCCTTGGCTACCAGGCAGTCAATCCATTCCTGCGGAATTGCTTCTTTAATCTCTTCCAGCCTTTCCTTCTTCTTCGGTTGATACTCCAGTCGATGCAGGACCTCACCTTCCTCTTTCCACTTACCTCCCTGCACATCCCAGATATCAACAACCCGATACACGCCACATGCCAACCATTGTTTCCCAAACGCACCCGGGCAATCCTGCTATGCAAATGGGACGCCCGCCCGGTGTATGAATCGATTCCCAAAAAGAGACTGTCCCAAAATTTGGTTACATGTTCGTGGGGCCGCCTGCCGTAGCGGGGCCTCCCGCCATTTTTGCAACACACCCGACCACAACGCCCCCCGCCGAAGACCTCGAAGGAGTTGAGGATGGAGAAGAGTCGTCTCAACATCCGCCGGGTGGACTCTGATTGCCTCTGCCATTTCCCGCAAAGTGACCAGTTTCCAGGGCTTCGTATCCTCTTCTAGAAGAAGCCACAAAACCGTCCGCATTTGCAACGCAGAAACCTGAATGCGGGGGTCCAACAGTCCCAGCCCCTCAGCCGACCTAGGCTGTACCAACTTCTCCCACCGCACCCTATAGATGAGATGTGGAACGCAGGGGTCATCTTTCCATAAAAACTTCCTCAATGCTCGCTTATAGCCCTTCCAGGCCCTTTTGGAAGGATCCGAAACCGCTCCTGCATACCACAGTGTTGCTGACACCGCGTTATTAGCGATAAGGACTTTCCCAAACACCCCATGCGATGCCTTCTTTGCCCAGGCCACCATACGCACCACTGCCTTGTGCAACAGATCCTCAAGTTGTTGTCCTGAAGAAAGCGCCGCAGGGACCAGAATACCGAGATACAGAAATTGGTCTTCGGGTAGTTGAGTGCTCATCCCTTCAAAGATCCCCCAATCTATTCCATCCGGAACCACTGCCACCGACTTCTCCCAATTAATCCTTGCACCTGCATATTTTTCAAACAGAGCTACCTCATTCCGCAAGGCCGAGATGCTCTGTTGTGTCGCCTGTGATACCGTTGCAGTATTGTCAGCAAATGAATTGGACTTGACCTGGCCTCCTCCAGGCAACTCATAACCCGAAATCTGAGCATCCGCACGAATCATTTCATGCAAGTGCTCCACATACAAAATATACAACGCAGGGGAGAGGGGACACCCTTGTCGCACAGAGCGTGTGACCCTCAGTGGAGGCGACAAAAAACCATTAACCTGCACCCTTGCCCCCGCCATCCCCAATACTACCTCGACAGCCTTAACAAAGCCCTCCCCAAAACCTCTACACCTCATACCTTGCAAAAGGAAGGGCCACCTCACCCTGTCGTAGGCTTTTTCAAAATCCAGGAAGAGCATGGCTAAAGGTGGCTGGGGGTCGTGAGCCCTTTCCATGATTTGGCGAACCATAATGACATTCACAAGGATCTGCCTTCGAGGGACGAAACCAGTCTGAGTGGAGTGAACAATGAATGGCAATACCACAGCAACCCTATTGGCTAGCACCTTCGCATAAAGCTTGTACGACGCCGACAAGAGCGAGATGGGCCTCCAATTCCTAATTTCCTCAATACTCCTTTTTTTGTACAGGAGAACAATCGTGGTCAGGCCAAAGGTAGCTGGAGGGGCCTCCCTTCCTGAGAAAAGACGATTGAAGGCTTCACACAAAAACGGAATGAGAGGACGTGCCGCAATCATCAAATATTCAGTCGGCAAACCATCCGGTCCTGGCGCCTTACCCTTATGCATCCCAGGCAACGCCTCCGCTACTTCTTCTTGAGTAATGGGTGCATCCAAGAAGGCCTTATGCTCAGGTGATACCTTAGTGGCACACTTATCCCATACATTTGCAGCCGGCACGACCGCCATGTCCTCTTCTGACCAATGCTCATCCTCACAGTACAGATTTGCATAAAACATTTCCACATACCTAATGATATCAGGAGTATTATCCGTTTTACCCCCAAGCGGATCGAATGGATGGCCCATTGCCACAATCATCGGCGAGTGAGAGTTCTTTTTCATTTGGGCGAAGAAAGCCCTAGACATGCGTTCTGCATCCCGTACCCATTTAATTTTTGAACTGAGCCCCCACAATTCCACGTCCCGAGCCTGCCAGTCAGCCCATTTTGCATACAAGAGAACCCACTCTGTCCATCATTCATCCTCGTCCCCCGATGGTGGGACCTCCCCTAAGGCCTCCATTCGACGAAGGTACTCCTGACCTGTTTGATCGTGTGTTTGCCTTGAAGCCTTAGCCTTCCTTTTCAAAATCCCAACCAAAACCTGAACCCCATGCTGGAAATGTTCTAACGGCGACACATTGGGAGGACACAACGGAAGCAAGTGTTGCCAGTGCTGCTGAACAAGTTCCCTATTGAGGACATCTGACAATAACCAGGTCGGGGCAGACATTGGAGGGGGTCTCCTGGCCACTCGCGGATGCAATGCCAATGACACAGTAATCACCTTATGGTCCGATACTGGTACCAACTGTTGCTCAAAACCCTGGAGATTCAACAGGAGGTCACTCGACAACCATGCCATATCTAACCTGCTTCTCAAGAGAGGGGAAGTCCCAAGCCAGGTAAAACTTCTGTCATCCGGGGAGAATCTTCGGAAAACATCCGCCAAGGCCATGTCAGCCATTAGACCACAGAGGGCCTCCGCGTCCGGCCTTGGATCCCCTGAAACCACCGAGTCCATACCCGGACGGATGATCGTATTAAAATCCCCTGTCAATAGTACAGTATCCGTGTCCGGAATACAGGCCGCAAAATTTCGCCAAAACCACTTGCGTTCAGTAACATCCACCGGGGCATACACAAAAGCCACCAGCAACTTCCTCCCCCCTTCCTCAATGGATACCCAAGCCCACCTTCCCAACATATCCCAAAAATAATCCAGAATTTTTTCGGTAAAAAACCTTGTCAGGATTATTGCAACCCCTCCTTTCGTTCCAATCGTCGGGGCCCATAACTGAAAGGAGCCCCCGAAGCCAAGTTCTGGGAGTGACAGCCGCTCCCCCCTCATCCCGGACTCTGAGATTTTTATCTCCTACAGACACAACACTGATAACCTAGCTCTATTGACAATCCTTTTAAGCTCTTTAACTTTAGTCCTAACTGATCGATACCCCAAACCTCTAACATTCAATGAACCTACTTTAAGCATAAACAAATGTACACAAGCAGTGACAGGGGTGCCGTCCCCACAAATCCTTCAACACATTTCCCATATCATATCAGAGAGTCAAATACTACCCCCGGCCACTTCCCCGGGATCGGTCCAATCGCGACACCCGAACCGAGACTCTCGATTTCCTTCGCAGAACCACCGGGCCATTACGCCTGTTGACGGGTTCCGATTGCCCAGTCCTTAGCGAAGAAGTCCTAGATGTTGAACCTCGAGGTGGCTGAACACGTCATTGTGGTCCATACAACCATTCGTTAATTGAGTACCAAAATCTAGTACTTGAGAAGCGTTTGGCTGCCGGCATACGCCTGTCAAGGTCCTTAAGGATCCGTAGGGGTGCCGATATAGCTGTGACAGCCGCGTATTCTTCCGCCTCCGCAAAATCAAGAACCAGCGCAAGGTTCCGCCAACCAAAGCTAGGGGATGGTAAACCAGTCCGCTGTGACCCCTCATACTTTGCCCGTACAAAGAAGCAATACAATCCCACTGAAAACCCATGATTAGTAAGGGCCAACAACCGAATAGCAGAGATACCTGGGATCATTGCTACCTCAGCCATAGCCCCGAGCAATTCTTGAGCTACCAACAGAGCTCGTTGCAGTGTAGGCATTGCGGACAGAGCATCCATTGGAAACCGTGCGTTATGTACCCCTGCCGACGCCGACACAGTAAGTACCTGTAATACCGATTCAGCCTCCATGAAGACTAACGGTACTAAATGTAGACGCCCTTCTGAGAGCATGTCCTCCAAAACACCGTCCAGTAGTTGCATCTGCGACCTATCACTAAAAGCCTCTCTCTCTCGTGGATCCACGTTTCTCCCATCCGTTCTGGGCTCCGGCTCCTCCTCCCGGCCTTCCTCCTGCGCACGCCGTGCAAGGTCCGGGAATGATAGCCTCACCCGCCCTTGAGGCAGATCAGGCAATGGAGAGTGCTCACCGGGCAAAGTTCTCAGCGGCACCCTGATCTCCTGGCATGACACAGACTGGACAGGAACTGCGTTCGAGCCTTCCTCGTCACTCACCTCAATGACCCGGTCAAGTTGCGTGAGGCCCTGGCCGGCTAGTAACCCGCACCTCAGGGGGGGGGGCCATGTTCTGCACAGGGCAACGAGGCGATCTCCCTTCCCTTATCGCTGTTTGTCCTCCATCCGTCCCTGGGATCACCAGCACCCCTCCCTTGCAGACTTCTCTCATCTTCCTCGGCGACTCATCCTCCCCCGAGCTAGCAGAACCCTGCACCATCGGTTGTTTGCCTTTCCCGCAAAGATCCATCTTCCCCTGAGATTTCCCCTGCCTGGCCGACTTCCGAGCACGAGAGCGCTTCCTAGTTGAAGGTCCCTCCCCAAACTCCTCCTGAAGCCTTCTCTTATCACACGTACCACCCCTTAACGACCCCGCAGCTACTTGCCTAGAAGACCAATCAACTTTATCCTTTCGGGGGGGAATATCACTTTCTCCCATAGGATCGTTCTCTTGGACGGGCGGCCTTTGCATGTCTTCCTCAACAAACCACCCTCCGCAGGCACCCGAGAGGAGGGACCGGCCTCATCCATCAACCATCCGCCCGCCGCTCCCTGAAACGTAAGCGAGCGACATGCTTCTATATTTACTCGGGAGATGGAAATCAAGGTCGTGCTATGTATCACTGACAAGTGTGAGGGCTGTAAAGGGCCGATTGGAGCAGGGGGCCGGGATGTCATCGGGAGCAGCGATGCCCCTACCATGGGCACTGCCGGCAAGGAGGTAACCACAAGGCATGCCGCAGAGGGCTGGGCCGATTGCAGCTGTGAGGATATAAGTTGCTGTGAATTAACCATGCCATGAGGTCGCGCACCCCCATGCAGCCCCAGCGAACTCTCCCCCCGGACGGCCCCGTCCTGTTGATCATCACTTCCCTGCTGTAATCGTAATCTTACCTGTCCTTCTGGGGCACTTGCCTCACCCTCCTCCTGGCGCTGACCCAAACCACCTTGGGGAAGCCTCTGACCCAAACCTCCTTGGGGAAGGGTGCCATCATTCCCTCGAGGTGCCTCTGACCCAAACCTCCTTGGGGAAGGGTGCCATCATTCCCTCGAGGCTCACTGATCATTTCCACCACTGGTACCTGGAAAACATCTTGCATACAGGTGTCCTCATGGCCTTGATTGCTGTTAGCAGCCGATCTTTCTGGAACCACCGTCTCATGCGGAGTCGCTTCTTCTTGGTGCTGCCTCGACATTCCCTCCTGTTGCAATCCCCCGAGTCCTTCGTTCGATGCCCGTGCCTGGCCCATCTGTGCAAAGGGCGGCATCCCTATTTCTTCCTGTTGCGATCCCCTGATTCCTTCGTTCGATGGTCGTGCCTGGCCCATCTGTGCAGAGGGCGGCATCCCTATTTCTTCATTCAGTATCCCACGTGTACCCTCTCTCCTGCCCTCCGAGGGGCGCTCAGGTGTCTCCCTCCCATCCCGTTGCGCATTCTCCGGCACAATCCCATTCGTCCGATTACGAGGCTCTGATGCCACCGGCCGAATTGGCACCCCCACGCCCCTTGAGTCAATACCACTTCCGCGTGTCCAACCTCCACGCATACAACCCCTCAAGGGCGGGAGGAAACGTACCTCCGCCAAACCACATACATCCCCCAAGCTTTCATCTGCCATGATCTCCCCACTAATCGTCACGTCTGCCTTCATCTCGAAAAGGACCCATCCTTCAACCTCCTCAACAGCGTTGACCGAACGAGCCGGGTGTAACCGTATGTGATCTTCCCTGCGCCGGATTTTTTCCCTTGTTTCTCCCACTGTCAGGCACCGGGCCGCACTCGCCAAGTGTCCATGCCTTCGGCATAGATCACACCAAGGAGTCTCACTTGTCACATACCGAACCTCCGGTTGCCCATAGCAAGGGATTCCCAACGACAACCGCTCCAACCCCGACCGCCTCAGGGGGGGGTGCAGGTCAAACCTAATTACTTCCTTGCCACTCTCGTCGTAGGTTGAGTGTCCCCCTTCATCCTTCAGTTGACCAAACAATTGTCGAGCAACCATTCTTAAATGCATCCTGGCCAAAGGAGGGGGGTGCAAAACTTAGCCCATGGATTCCGCCTCCTCTCCATGAGTCGATCCCACTCCAAATCCACCGGTGTCTTCCATTCCGCAAAGGAAACCCGAAGCCGTTCATTGTCAATCACAACATCTTCCCCCATCCTCGTATCTACCAACCAATTACGTAGCTGGGCAGTGGGCGCCTAGTAAAAAACCATTCCCGACACTTCAATGGAAACAAACCCCGGGAAATTCTTTCGGTCCAACGGAGGCCACGTGGACTCCCACCTTCTGACCGTATCCAACTTCATTGTTGATGAGAAATCCCTACATCGTCCCCCGAAGTACATGACTACCACATGGGCTCTCATGTATGTAGCCTGGACCTGCACCACCGCATCGCCTACATTACGGAAAATCTCATCACCCTCCTGCTCATGGGTCCCTGCCATATCATCGAAGAAGCTGTTTGTAAGGACCGCCTTCCAGAATCTCCTCATGAGGTCCCACTTCGAGGTAGGCGTTATTTCCCTCGCAGCCATTACTACCTCCCACCAATCACCGATCAACCCCGTCCACACACACCGATGCTTCCGAGTCATTGGAGTAGTACCCGTATCTACCCGTACCAATCCCCTAGGCAAGAGTGGAACCCGTCTGCGGAGCACGCCGATCACTTGCTTCAGACGGCTCCGTACGGGGCGCAGAACCCTGGCTTTCCAGGCGAGCCTCAAGCTCCAGACAACGCTGCTCTAGTCGTTGCAATCGTGCAAACGGATTCCACTTCCTCAGGGCCGACCGTGTGAGTCCGCCAGATCCTAACCTGCAGCCGTACCTGGCTCCAATCACCAGAAGCACGACCAACACTCCAGAAACGCCGTCCACAGCCAGCCACCACCGCCATCTACATGCCAAGTGGTGACCAAGGTGAAGGCAAATGGAGGATACCTCATAGGCACACAACCACGAGAGAGTCGTGATCAAGATACGACCAAGTTTCGCAAACAGGCTTGTGATACAAGCATCTAAACCACCCAGCAAGCGTCAAAAACCGCCACCAGCACCCACCAAGCATCAAGCAACAGTTGAGCCAACCCTATGCAAGAGTCTCGTCATTATCACAACGAACCAATGTCGAACTCCTAGTATCTGGCGCTCAACGCCCGCCCAGACTACGAATGGCAAATCCTATCTAGCCTATCTACAATGCTGCTGATGACGTCAACAGCCCCCCCCCCCCCCCCCCCGCAGTACAAGCGGATCTCGGCCAATGTCATTCGCCTCAAGCACCAGGTAAGTCTCACACATCGCTCATCAACCTCGATTTCCCACACAGACGCCACATGCACTCAAGGACCACCATGCGCCCCATCGCACTTAGCGCATGGCAGCTCGGCCATGGCTGTCCGCATTTCCTGCTCGCCCGTTTATCTTTTATTTCTTACTAATGTATTTGGTCGCTTACATGACCGGATTCAACTAAACTAAACACGAAACTATTCGCAGTTCCCTCCTTTTCTTGACTCCCACTCTCTCACTTTCACTCACACACACACACACACACACGCAAACACACGTGCGCGCCCACACGTGCAAATGCGTTATTCAAGCTTATCAGGTGACACGCCAGCAGTGAAGCCAAGCCCAATCGTTCCAAGACAACACCTACTGCCCAAGCTATGAGGATGATCACGACCATCAACTACAAAGGTGGCAACAACAGTTGGTGATGGTAACCACGACGAGTGTCAGGAATGACCTCGACAAACGTGGGGAACATTCGTGGATGAGAAAGAAGATGACCGCTACTTGATGACCAAGAAGACTGCCTGTGACGACGAAAAAAAATGACGATTATATGACAATGAAGGGGACCGATCGGAGATGAGGAGAAATGACCACAGACATCCTCTTTCCATCGTTGTATCCTTCGTTCGTTTTGCTCCTCCCCCTTTTTCCTTCCCTTCGATTTTTCTCCTACCCCTTCAGCCACTCATAACAGAAAACTCCACCTACACACCCTTTGCCAATTTCAAATGTATCTAGTTGCAATGGTGGGTATATTCATTCGATTTTACTCATACCATCGACGAAAGTAACATGCACTCATCCGCGCGATTGGTTGCTTACATACTCTTTCTCTCTCTCTCTCTCTCTCTCTCTCTCTCTCTCTCTCTCTCTCTCTCTCACACACACACAC